GTAGTAGTAGGAGTAGTAGTAAGAGTTAGTAGAAGTCGTAGTACTAGCAAGAGGAGGAGTAGGAGTGGACCAGAAGGAATAGGAACACCAGCAGCAGTAGCAATAGCGGTGGTAGCAGTAGGGGTACTTCCGCTACGACGGCGACTACTGTAGTCCGGCTACTTGACCGACTACGAATACCACAAGAAGGATGACAACGACGCCCTCCATGGCAAAAGTGAGTGTGCAAGCGATTTTGGCCTCCACTGCCCGGGGATCAATGCCAGAATCAGCGGCAGTCTGCCAGGATTGAGGGCTCAAGGAATAGATTTGCACGGCTTCGGCTTGAGGACTTAGTTGGTCATTCACATTCATTTTCTTATATATGCCTATTAGTCTATTTTATGTATAGTATGTGTATATATATATACAGGTACATATTACGTGTATGATCCGTGTACATATATACACACACATAGAGAGAGAGAGAGAGAGGGAGAGAGAGAGAGAGAGAACAAATAAATAAACAGAGAGACAGATAGGGAGAGAGAGCGTAGAGAGTTGATGCTTGGAGCTTGCTCAGGGATTGCCCTCTGCTCCAAGCCTCCTGAAACCATCAAACCCAAAACTTCAAAACTCTACACCTAAGAAACCTAAACCCTAAGGTTTGCAAGCCATCAAACCCAAAATGCTACGCCTAAACCGATCAGTGACCGTAGGTTTGTCGCATAGGACGCAGGAAGTTCGTTCACGCATCGGATAGGAGGCCAAGTTAAATGCTCTTCTAGCGGAGGTTTGGGAGCTGGGCCGCAGGGTTTGGACAACGTGAAACTGTGTGGCGCCAGTACTGCTTGATATTTGAACTGCGCAACTTATAAAGTATAGTCTGTTTGTTCAAAACATGCATACGTGTACATATGTATATTGATAAAGACATAAATCCAGACCTAGATCTAGATATAGGTACGTAAGTTTGTAAGGACACAATGCAGATATAGATATAAATCCTGTTCTCTCGTCGCGGAACCCTACACAGACACCTCGCCAGTCGGGCTGATCGCATTCGCCAACTGGTCCGGGTCCTGGGCTTAGGGTTCAGGCTGCTTCTGGTGGTTCGGAAATAAGCTGCGGCTCCAAAACCGTACCACTCTACATAACCGAAAGCCCTACGTGTAGCCGAGAAACCTAGCTTTTCAGGGGTTCTTCAGTAAGTATGACTTCTATACATAATTTCTTAAAAAGGTGAGCTGTTTTGGCCAAGGTATACCAAACCTAAACTCTAAAGTCTAGAATCTCTGAAAGAACAAAAATAAGTTTAGGGATTAGGGTCCAGGGTCCCTAAACCTATATAGGCTTTGTGCTTCGGGCTCAAGCCTGACAGCACCTAAACCCCTGAGCCACGAAAACCTGAAACCGTAGACAGCCTAAGCCCAAACGCTCGAAACTCTGCTAGAACCCTCATTGTTGCACAAACCCAAAGCGCAAAACACAGAAAACACACACTGCCCGCACCAAAAATTCCAAGACAACACTGCAAAGCCCCAACTCTCAATGTCCGGCAAGCTTCACTACAGAACCCTTATGGAACCCGTATGAACGCCCATCAACTTTCAGCACCCGAAACCCCAAATCCTTGTCCATAAACCATCCCAAACCCCACCTGTAGCCGAAAGAACCGACCTTTTGGGGGGGGGGCTCATTGCTATTCTGGCTTCTATATTCTATTTACACTTCCATAAACAGTCTGGTTTTTCGAGTTCTGTCCACAGGTATGACGAGCTTCACGATCACCCCAAAAGCACACCCTAAAAAGCCTAAAACACTAAACACCCTTAACCCACAGTCGAGCTTCGCGATCACCCTAAAAGCACACCATAAAAACCTAAAATAAAACACTAAAAACCCTTAACCCACAGTCGAGCTTCGCGATGTGCTTGCATGACCGTTTCGGCGCTTCCCCGCTCGAAGGCCTTCTGCTCGGGGTTGGCTTTGCGGTAGCAGAACCTGGCAGGTGGTTTTATGTAGGGTTCTTTAAAGGGTTCCTTAAAGGGTTCTATAAGGACTACTCTAAGGGTTTAGGGTGTTGGGTCCTTAATGATTGGAATAGGGTTTTGGGCTGCTTTGTGGAATTTATGACAAGGAACACCAAAAATAGAAGTGGTAATTATTGAGGCGCCTTTATTAGGGACTTAGGGTCTGGCGTGTAGGACCCCAGAAACCTGGGCGTGGTTTTAGGGTGTCCATATGGGGCTTTATGTGGTCTGTAACATTACACAAGTTTTAAACTCGAAGTTTACAGGGTCGTTTGCTGAAAATACCCATAGGCCCTATACTAATTCCTTTTTGGGGTTACCTTATAGGATTCTATCTATGAACCCCCAGAAAGGAGCTACTTTATAGGGCCTATGGGTAGTGGCACCGAAGACTGTCCCCAGAGACTCCAATACCCCTTAATTAAGGAATATACCTTAAATCATAGTAGGGATCCTACTATAATTTAAAGTATATTCCTTAATTAAGGGGTATTGGGTTCTCTGGGTAGAAGCTTTCGCCTGCAGCTCGCAGGAGTCCCCAGGGAAGCGCTGGTTCAGCAAGTAGGCAAAGGGGATGCGAC